GAAACATTTGTATAATAAACTCTCTTTTTCTCTCGTAATAAAAGGATTAATAAAATATTCAATTTGATGGCTAACATATATAGCTATTATTTCATTTTTTGGTTGAACGTAATTCAATTCCAAACATATATATTTCTATTTATAATAAATATATACATATATATTATATACTTTTTATTTAACATCATATACTATGCATGTACATATTTACTTAAGAGCCTCATACTTCACTTGTGATTGTATTTTAATTGTTTTTCAATTGTTAGCTTGTTTATTCAGAATTTTGATAGGGATTGAGATTAAAATAACAAGAAAAATGTTCATATTTTTTTTGCGTAGATGTAAGAAAAATATTCTTTTAATACATGAAATAAATTTTGCGTATCGAAGGCTGATGCAATTGAATAATTAATATGCAAAACAAATAGTTACACGATTATTATTTTTAATAGTCTACACTGGTAGATACTAGTACGTATAAATAGATATGATTAAACGAGAATATAAATATCTCGTATTATCATATGATATGAGATTACATCATATCACTCAAGCTAGTATTTAAGCAACGACATATATGACTTACGACATATATGACTTATTATTGTAAAATCATCCACGTGCAAAGCATTAGCCTATTATTACATTTTGCATAATGAGAATTCCTTTTCTTTTATCATATTTCAGGTATAAATAGAATCGAAGAAATAAGTAGAATATATGAGTAAGATTAATAGAAGATAAAAAGATCTATTATACGTATTTAATTAAAGCGCCACATGAATCTATACACTCTTGAACCATATTCCCGCTAGATGTTTTATATTAAATTATTTATTTATTTTATGATTTAGTTTTTTTATAAATATTGTATAAGAATAAACAAAAATCTAATAAATAATTAATAGCGACATTATATTAATATTATATTTTTTATATAACAACGTAAATGTAATATACGTTGTATGTAATAATTATATTGTTAAATAGGAAATTGTAATATTGTTGTAATGTTACCGTTAGTTATTATTTACATGGAAATAACTTAATATAGAATTTAGTAGGACTCGATATAATATATTGAATGTCTCTTTTTCTTTTTTTGTTATTTAATAATTTTATTTTTAACTAATCACTAACATATTACACGTTTCTTCTATTGAACGACTTCCGCATTCCTGTATTACATGCAATGAATTCAAAAATATTCAAACAAACAACAAATCGGCAATTTTTTTTAATTGGCTCGATAATTTTCTATCTATTTTTATTATTGTTGATATCATTTTAATCTGCTTACAATAAAGCGATCTATCTAAAAATATATTTTTTAAAGAAAAGAAAGACAGATAAAGATCAGAATTTTTCGAATTTCTTCTCGAAAAGATCATCATATTGAATATATGATCTGATTGAAATCTGTAATAGCTCTTTATTTGAGATTTTCTATGATTTTTTAAATAGTAGGTAAATAGTCAGGTAGCTATATTCCTGCATTTCTATTTGGATATCCACATCTTATATGAATGAAAAAAAACTGATGCTGTTCGAAAATTCTACTGCTGGAAAATTTAATTTTTTGCAAAGTTCTATTGCACTGATATGGCGTGAAAAAAATTCTCGGCTGATATAACGCCAATTATCTTGGTTTGCAATCAAAGACCGCGATTTGATATAATGACATGTAAATGATATATAATATAAATGTAGAATGGTAGCTTAAAATTTGTTCCAACAATTAATTTTTGATGCGAGTTAGTTGTTAAATTCATGATTTCTCTCTTCTCTTATACATTGATTATGTTTAGCAGAGAAAAAAAAGCAGAGAGAAAAACTGATCAATTTTCTCTGTTAAATGCAGTCATTCTTTCTTTTTTAATACATGGAGACAAATTTGTAGAAATACTTTATCATTCGACTACACGGAGAGAATTTTCTTTTAAAATTTACCCTGAAAATATGGTAGTTATAGTAAAATACAATACTTTGAACATTTTTACCATGCACACTTTAGTAAAATTGATCAAACTTATTTTATACTTTATTGAAGTTTTATTAATGAATGAGAGAGATTTAAAATTTTTTGAAATACTCACAACATATTTTCAAGGTAAATTCTAGGAGAAAAAATTCTCTCTGTATACGTCTCGCGAATGAAAACAACATGAGCAACAGCGACACGTGGCTTTACTCTCATTAAAGATGACTAATCAAGTTTTATTATTAAAAAAAAAACCAATATGACTCAATGAAAATCACTACAGAATTCTTTGCATGTTTTTGCAAACAAATGAATAATAAAAGGATAGTAATCGTCAAGATATGATTGAATGGATTTATAAATATTTTTCTAAAAATATAATTTTTTATAAATATAATCTTCGTATTAATTAACTAAAACATAAACTTTTGAGGCTTTTACGGAATTTTCTTCAGAGAAAACAATGGGTTATTATCGTGATTTATTGCTAATTGGGTCACGACACGATGACAACTTGCAACCTTTTTTTAGCATCTCTAAATAAAACATATTATTCTTGCTCGAAACTTATCGATAATTAGATATATCTAAATATTAAAATTTGTATAACATTTAATCTTTTATGACAAACGATTTAGAATAGATTAGTGAAGATTTAATATAAAGAAAGATAACATATAAATAAGCTTAATTTGTTTATACAATATTTCTTCACTGATTGTCAGAGAAAAGTGTTTAATATATTTATGAATATATAATTACATGAAAATAATTATAATTAAAATACATCATATAA